AATGTCGAAGTACACTGCTGAGGGGAGCAGCAGGCGGGTCTGCCACACCATGTGATCACCTCTGGGGCAGGCAGGCGGGAATGGAACTCATGCAGAAGTGGCTTTAGATTCTCAGTGCTGTGCTTTAACCCGCTGCGCCACCAGGGAGGGCCTAAATCTTTTTATAAATAAATAAATAAATAAATCTTTTTAAAAAAATTTCAAGAGCCATTAAGTTTCCACTAGGAACAAATAGAACCACCCATGATCCACTGAAATTTTTAGGCTAAACGAACTAAATCTAGTATCTTCGATTATATGTTAAGTATAATAAGTAGTAAGTACATTTTCACTTGCAGGCTCTGAACTGCTACTACTTAAAAAGATTCGGCCTTTCCTTCTCTTTTTTGCCATTTAGTTTCCTGTTTATCATTTTAATTATTAAATTAATTCTGAGTTTTTAGTGAGTTAGACGTCAAGCAAAATCTGATTTTATACCAATGTTTTAATTCTTCTGAGTCTCTTAAAATTTTTATGTCAAAAAAAAATCATACCTTTTTCCCATTCATATGCCTTAGCACCAAAATCAAGCCAGAGTGATAACATTCGTGGCATTGACTGATAAATGAACTGATTTCCATACTGTAGAGATCTGCAATTAAATAGAAATTATTAATGTAGTATTCTTTCTAACGCTGTATGAAGTAAAATTTAAAGACTTAAAGTACCGCTTGAGTTCTATTACAGCCTTCTTACAAAAATTATGGTATCAGTATTTATTCCTAGAAGTGCTTACTTATCTTTGACTCCTTTCTCTTTTCCCTTATTATATTCATTAATCCCTATATTGCCTGTAAAGAAAAACTGTATGTCATGATCTAGTCAAAATCCTGTTAATGTTTTTTTCAAATTGTTCCTAAGATATCTGCCTTCAGGAGATGCAAATTAAAACCACAATGAGTATTACTTCACACCAGTGAGAATGATACATCTTAAAACAACTAACAGCTTAAGCAAATGTTGGCAAGGGTGTGCAGAAAAAGAAACTCTCCTGCACTACTGGTGGGAATGCAAACGAGTACAACCACTATGGAAAAAATGTTTGGAGGTTCCTCAAACTGCTAAACATGG